ACATTCCTATACATTTTACAGTACAGTATGGAAACCACCAAGAACATCTTATGCCCTTCTTGCTATAGAAAAGAACTCCAAGAGCTCCTCTTCACATGCTCCCCTTTCCTGCCCACAATTAGCATAAAAATTTTCTAACAACTCTCTTGGTATGTTTGGTAGGGAAAAAAAAAAAAGTGTTTTCTTAGCTGGAATTAACTAACTTTGGTTAAAATACAATATCTTGAGTTAGCAGATGGAGATCCATTCTGGAATTTCCATTGGGTCTGTCTGAAGCAGCAAACCTTGAGTTGCCTTGTCTTCATTGCTATTTTGACCTCTGCTAGCAAGCCTGGGCCAACCCACCCACATTTAGAGACAACTTTTATTTGCAATATAAACAATATCCATGTCACGATGGATAAAGGGCAGATCTGTGGGATTTCATATGGGAAAAGACAACTGCTTTTGCCAGACACTGGTTCCTAATAACCACCTTTCTTCTATTAGGTCCTAAACAAGGAGGTGGGATATGTCTTGGGGGGTCTGAGGACTGACCAGAGAAAAGGAGCTGAAGGGAAGGTGGAGGAGCCTGGTTACATGTGCTCTCTGCTCAGCAGGGAGGCCCCTGTGTGCTAGAGGGAGAGAGAGGCTCTACTTTCATCTACATGAAGAGAAACCAGAAGTAAAGGTACCTTTCAGGAGGGCTAAGGGGTCTCCTAGTGAGAGCATTTAAGCAACAGAGTGGGAGGGAGAGGATGTCAGATCACGAAGGGGGTCCATGTGATGACTTGTTTCTCAAACACAGAGTGAACAATCTTGTGCTGAATTTGAACACAAGTGATGAGTTGTAAGAGTGGTGAAAATGGCAAATAAATTCTAGGAAATTGCATATAAAGAGGAATCATTGTTATTAAATCATTTAGAATGGGTGTGTTTCAAATCTAGCTCACAGTTGAAACCGTTTTACAGCTATAGCTGTGGAGTTTTAACAAAATTGTAGAATCGCAACGTATCTGCCAGGGATTTATTTTAAGGATTATAGGGTGGTTATATAAATGAACCTCAATAGACTCAACATGTTTTTGTGATCTGAACCCTTCAGTGATTTCCACTGCAGTTATGCATGCAAGAAGCAACACCATGTGTGTATTTGTGTGCACATATGCAAATATATGAGACAGGAAAACAACACACACACATGAAGGCTCAGTCCCCAGCTCCGCAGGCAGGCTTTCTACAGACTGCTCCTACAGAACAATGATACAATTTCTTAACATCAGCATCATGGTATTTCTTTTCACTTCTCCCCAGAGATCTCTTGTTTCCTCTGATCTGCCTCCTGTCTGTATTAGAAAGGAAAGACTATACTGTCCAGCACACTTCTGGTACTTGATCTCACTCCAGGCTCTGGGTGCTAATCCCACCACCTCTGTATTGCCTGTCTCTCCTGTCAGTGCATGTGTTTGTGTGTATATGTACAGCCATGCACATCTGCTAGTGACAGCCCTACACTGGCTGCTTTCCCTGACCTGTTCTGTACAAGAAGGGAACGGGACTCTGGCCCATAGCTGGCTCCATAGCCCGGCTGCCAACATCAGCTCCCACTCCTTCTTCTCCAGAAACTATATATTGCATTTCTACTTCAAACACATCTCTGCATCAACTGTCAGTCTAGCAGTCCAAAGACCCTAGTTGCCAGGTGCTCCCATTCTCCTCACTATGGGAGGACATTGTCCATGGAATTTGGCTACTGAAGCACTCAGAGACAGAAAAAAACTACAAAATCTGTCTTTTTTCTTTGCCTGCTTCCAGAAGATGGATGGAACGTTTAAGAAAATTCATCCCAGGCACGAACACTGAGAACTTCTGAAAATACTGGCTCTAAACTAGTGGAGATCAATCTCCTGAAACAGCCTCAATGATTTTAGAAATGCCTGTTGACACAGATATGGCTGTTAACTCCTCAGCTCTGGAGGTCAGAGCATGTGCTAAGACTCACTTGATGGCCTCAACAATTCTGCTTGACTGGATGGGTAAGTCACACAGCAGAATGCTGCTGTTGGTCCATGCGAAGGAGTGCATGCCCCTAGGAACACAAGCATTATAACCATTTCTGTTTCTTGAAAGTTCTCTATTTCATTAGTAATGCTCCAATGGAATAATGGTCGCAGACCCTAGCAGCAATTATAGAAATGTGTTTTGTTTTATTTATTTAACGCATAAGTACTAACTTTTTCATGAACAGAAAGTGATGATGCACTGGCAGGAAAATGGGGAAAATGGAGAAAAGGATATTGAAAGCTTTGAGCACGGCTCTCCTCTGTGCTGTCTCACTCTCTGTCTCTCTCATACATTTGCCCTCTCTGCCCGTGGATCCACTGTGGAAGCCATATGGCTTCCAACTTTCTTCTCAGTAGCCACTGAGAATTGTCTATAGTGGAATACTGCCAAACCCTTCCTGGTTTAATGACATGGGGAAGAGCGCCGTGCAGTGCTCACCCAGCACAGAGACTCGCTGCGTCCTTGATTATGATCCTGGAGCCAGCAAGTGGTGCTGGGAATTGAACCATCAGTGCCTCAAATACAGAAGTCGACATGTGCCAACCCCTGCTGCATTCAGCCTCTGTGCATGGCATATTAATGAGTCTTGAACTTGAGGTCCAACCTTCAAGCTTGCACAGAAGAAATTACCCAAAGACAAAAACAAAAAAGGCCCGCTTCGCCCTGTTTCACTCTAAGAGGGATAGGGATATTAGTTTCTTCACCGAGTTAGTTCAGTCCTTAAGCAGTAACTTTTTTTTTTTAGGCCATCTCAGCATACATAACCACAATTTCCCTTGATTAAAGATTATAAAAACTAGTTTGAAAAGATACTCAGAATAAACACATTAAGCCAAGAGGGTATATGAGGGGCGACATGACTCCATACTAACCCTCATTCTCATACCCTGTCCATAAACACCTGCTAAATGTTGGAGTCAGGTTATGGACCTAGACAGAGCTTTCTTCTGCCTGTTTTTATGTCCCATGACACTAGATTGCAGGAACATGTGGTTATGAGCGTGGTAACAGTCTCAACTAAAATCGGGAAGAGAGGGACCCTGCTCTAGGTGACCCTGCTTCGGCAGGCGGGTTGGACTAGATGACCCACAGAGGTCCCTTCCAACCCCTACCATTCTGTGATTCTGTGATTTCCACACCAGCACAAAAGAGCATTGCTGGGGACACCCTCAGTGCCACAGGCGTCAGAAATAGAGCCCGATACCTGTGGAAGCTGGTGATGCACTACAGCCTTCAGCTGCATAACCCAATTTGGAATTGCTCAGTCTTCTTTTACTTGAATTTCCTCATTTAGAGGAAAGCCATGGCCATCTACAAGTCAGCTGGAACACCAGGTTCGGGGAAATCTTGCAGCATTTCTTTTGGCCTTGCAAATGCCTGGTGCAGAGTGAAGGCTGGTCTTTTATTTCCTAAGAAACAATTTTTCTCCACGTGCATATTTGGCAGCAGAGGCACAATACAGATGAAAAAGACCTTACAGAAGGATACTCTCTTTCTTTGGAAAGGGTTGCACCTTTGGAGGGAAATTTGAAAACCTATGAAAGCTGTGTCCAGCTGCAAATCTGTCCAAAAGTCAGAGGAAGGGACAGCTTGTAGAGGATGAACAGAGCCAATGTACAATGTAACTCTCCAGGACAGCATGTTTCTCTGGTGGTAAAAGCGAAGGACAACACATCACTGACCCCAAAACAACAGTCTACAGCCTTCCTAAGCAAGATAAAACACTTCACAAGCCTGTAAAAAAATCACATACTGAATTTAATTTCTGCAAGAAATAAACCAAAATGCTTTACAGTGTTCCGGAATTTTTCTCACCTTTGAAACACTTGAGAAATTTAACTACGCAAAGCCCACAACAATCCCTGATGAAAGCCTGCTTACATCTCGGGAAGCTATGGAAAAAAGATCACGAGATTTGCCCAGTCACAAGGGCTATACTGGGTGTGCATTATTTGAGGAATCTGGCCTGAGGCATCAAAGCCCAATTTGTTGTATGTCTCAGGTCTGCAAATATAAATCTTCCTTTCCATAAATCAAAGGTGGTGTTCTTCAAATATGCTCACCTAGCCTATTAGACTGCCCAGCTCACTCACTAACAGCCATGATGCTAGAGCGGATACTACAGCTGGTGGCAGCTGGTCACATACAGTGACTCCAGCCCATCCATGCTATTGCTCAGTGTTCCTGCATCAAAGGGCAATACTTTTTCAAATACCCCACCTCTTTCTTCAGTATCTCACAAAACTCACCGCAAATTCTTGCCAGAGAACCTTCAATATGGCAAGCTAGCAAGAACAGATGTTAGTGCAGACCCAGACAGCATTTTCACAGTACAAGACACAAGTACTAGAAGCCCATGCAAACTATTCCATTTCTTCCTCAGCTTTTACTTGACATAAATCAACAAAAAAACTCACCACTAATTTTCATGACCATGAACACCAAATTACTTCACTAAGCATTGCACTGATTATTTCAGCAATCCTGAGATAAAGCAGTATATAATAATTATTATCTTAAACCATTAAGTGGTGCAGCAGCAGTGGACACACATTCCCTGCAGATCGAAATAACTTGGTTTTATCAATGGCAGAGTTCTCCAAACTACCCTGATACCAAAACCAATAAGCGTCATTTTTCTATGAATAAGCTGCCCAGGTTCCAAAATACCAACCAAAAATCTGCTCTTTGTTAAGTATTTCAGAACACAAAGTAATATCTGCTCTTAAGAAAGGCAGGAGCCGTTTGACTTCGCCGTGACTCAGAAAGTCACAGAAGTCTCATAAGCCTACAACGAAAGCAGCTGATTGGGCTTCACTGGTCATGCCTCTGTTTCAGCTTATCTGAGTTGGGTACCAAACTGGGACCATTACATTCACAGAGTCTTGCACTTTCAGACAAAAACACGCTATAACCAGCTTTGCCTTATTTAATAAAACAATAAACTTTGTGCTGACCTTTGGCAAGCGTTCAGGGTCACCAGGGTGCCGGGGGATAACCTTCTGTAACCTTTGGAAACCATAGTCAATGGTGGGTTCGTTCAGAGCTGAAACAACAACAAACAACATCGTGATGTGACAAACGCATAGCAAGCAGGCTCTGTTGCATTCTAACAATTGGCGATGCATTACAAGACCAAGGAAGGATCACAGCAAAATCCCCTTCTGCTGAAAGCAGCACTGACTATGAAGTCTTCGTTCAAACGCTGTTTGAGGTTGGTTCTGAGGCTTCGGTTCAAACAGTAATGCAAACCTCTCCAATTGCGTTCATAAAACAAGGTTGCTGGAAAATTTGGGGATGTTGCATATATCTTCCAAATAGGAAGCAATTCTTATTTCTGAAAGCTGTGATTAAATTAATTTGATAAATACTTTGCATCCCCATGTTTCAGGTTGGGGTTCTTTCCTGCTTTCATATTACGAGAAAGATCCTTTGTGATTGGAAGAAAAAAAGAGTAACTGTTAGGGAGTCTCTCTTGTTCCAGATTCTATTACACATTTAATATGCTCCATGTGCACTGATCACATATAATTTTGTTGTGAACTACAGGCATTTGTCTCGGCAGTGTCTTTATTTTTCACTCACCAACATTGGCTTCAGCAGCCCGGCTCAGGCCCTGATCAGCACTAAACTGATTCAAAAGACTCAATGAACTAAAAAAAAATCATCCATGTTTTTAGTTCATTTTTCCCTCGTTCTTGTCCAGTAAAATGGAGGAGAGAAATGGTGGAAGTGGAACACTTTAATCTTCACAAAAATGCTGGTCTGCCTGCATTAATCAAAGGTCTGATTGTGCCAAGCCTTTAAGCACATGCTTATCTGTAAGCACATACTTAAACCCATTTGCTTTCAGCGAAGCAAATTTGAGCATATTATGTTTTTTATATGATTGCCTATAATTACAGGGGACTTCACTGAATGACCTTCTAGCTATATTTCCAGTCATATGATCACTTTAAAACTCAGATGTTAGTGAGACTTCAACATGTGCTTAAAATTTCCTAAGTGCTTTGGTGAACTGGAACAACAGTCAAGCATTCTCAAGCATCTCTAAACAACAGCGCATCTTGACTCTCCCATGCCAACAGAGATTATGAAATTTTCCACAGCAATTTGTTTGCATTTTTTTTAAGTTAAATGAAAGAAATTTTTTTTCCAATATGGAATTTCATATTTTCAGCTTTTTTGTTTTTGGTAGGAAAAAAACTAATTTTTTTATTTTCATTTTTGTGTCATTTTAAAGTTTTTCTTATTTTGTCTTAGCTTATTAATAGCAAAAAAAATATTTCTGCACAAGGTCTGCCTACTAAATTCTGAATATATCTTGCACTTTTATGTTCGTTTTATTATGAGCACTATTACGTGGCTAGAATTATGCCATCTGATTCTTGCAAAGAGTTTTAGCATCAAAACTATATCTCCCAGTCTCACCTGTGCAATAACCTCATGTGGCTCAATGATGCTTATCCCACAGAAAGTTACACAACTCCATCTGTCTGATCAACAAGCCCCTCCAGTTTTCCCCATTGATTGGGTTTGATTATTAATAAATTCTGAGAGACAGCATCCGAGGTACAGAAACGACCACAATGCTGCACACAGATACAAGCCTAACCTCATGCCCAGTGATGTTATTGTATCATAAATTGATATTACACAGTACCACAAAATGGTAATCCTGATCTTTTCCCAGAGGTGATGAACAGCACTGCAGGGAACACATACTGCAAGTAAGGGTTTACATACCACAACCACATGACCAAAGATAGCAACATTTTGACTAGCAACTATTTAACTAATATAATAAATGCATATAACAAATTGTAACCAAGTTGTTTTAACACACTCTGCTCAGCCCTGCCGTTATAGCAGCCCATGTTGGGCGCCAAAAGGACTATCATGGTTTGGCCCCCGCCAGCAACAAAGGACCAGGCGGTTGCTCTATCACCCCTCCCCCCCCACTGGGGTGGAGAGGAGAATGGGAGGAAAAAGGCAAAACTCTTGGGTCGGGATAAGGACAATTTACCAGAACAGCAAAGGAAGCGAACAGTAACAACAATACTGACAAGAAGAATATATAAAATCAAGCGAATACACAGAGCAACTCTCTCACTGCCCTATGCCCAGTGCAATCCTGAGCTGCAATTCACCTCCCCCCAGCCAGCTTCCCCACTCAGACCCAAGCATGACATCACATGGTATTGAATACTCTGTTTGGCGAGTTTGGGTCAGCCATCCCCGCTGTGTCCCCTCCCGGCTTCTTGTGAAAATGATCCTATCCCAGCTGAACCCAGGACAACATTGCACAATTTGTCCATAATTCCACCTTTTAAGTGAAGAGAACATTTTTTCATACTCCTAACATTGAAGATCTTTAGCTAGACCACATTCATATCATGCAAGTAATATCTAATCACTGGCTTGTTTTTAATTAATTGGTATTCCATTAACAATCCCACAAAACAGTCCAGTTTTTAAAGAAACTGTTCCATTTAAATTATTATTTTCAAACCACATTTCTACAGCAGATGGTCCTACGGGCAACCAAAGGGTGAGGTTTTCTTACCCTCCCGGACCTTCAGTATATGTCAACTCCATAAGCAGACCCAGTGATGTTACTGCAAGTTGAGGCAGAAGGAAGGTGGCGTAGGGGAATCCAGATCTATCCAACAGCAGTGAAACAGAACTGTGTGGCTGACAGGGACTGGCTGGAGACGCACATAGTCCCGTAGAATCTCAACAGTTCTCTAATGTCAGAAAAGAATCTTCTGAGCGTATCATGAAATTACCATTACAGTATTATGGTAACACCAGACTAAGAAATCTTTCAGGATTTTACTTTCTGGGCTATTATCAGAAGTTTTTATTGCCCCAGAGATTATGGCATCCCTGTAGTCTCCTTGGGTTTTTTCATGCATTTCTCTTTGTCAGAAATATCTGAATTTGGCGTTTCATTTATATTCGGGTCATTGTATGGAACGGGTGAGAATAAGGCTTTTCCCCTGCTTGTGCCCTTTTTGGTTTTTGGATGGTTGGTTCCTTTCACACTCTGGCCACATGCTGTCCACTCTGTTGTGTAGTTTTGCAGAAAATATCACAGTACCTGTGTTTGTGAAGCCCCAGTTTCATTGCTTTTGAGTTTCCTTACACGGCTTCTTATCGTGGATCCGTTTAGTTTAGACTTTCCACAAATTTTAAAATAAATTCATTTACTGCTATTCATGTTCATTAACAAAAATAGCTGTTCTCTGAGAAAAAAACCCTACAGTTCTAATTTACATTTCTTTTGCAAATATGCTAGAAGATTTTAGTGTGGTTCTGTCAAACGTGTTTCTTCTCTAATTCAGTCTAGTTTATGGCCATTTTGCCTTTACATGCTTTGGGAAAGTAGTTACTAAATTCTGCAATATTATAAATGGAGGCCAGTTCTGAAATCCCCCCAGAGACAGCAGTCATTTTCTCATATCTTCCCACACATTCAACACATTTGAAATCCACAGAGTATTTCCTGTGAGTATTTTCTGAACTAAATGACCAAAAAAAATGTTAATTTTATGGTCCAATCTCACAAAGCATCAAGCATTCTCTGAGAGATACTGAAAACTTTCTGCCTCAAATAGCTTTAGCTTTACTTTGGGCGGGGAGAGAGGCTGCACACAGCAATTTGCAGGATTGAGTCCTAAACTCTAGTTGTCAAATACCGCTCATTAGTCTATAACCGTTCAACTCTTTCAATCTTAGATAAAATTAATAAAAGAAATCTTTAGCTGCCTGAACATGTAACCACAGATTGGACGATATCAGCCCTCCATTCTTTAGCTCATTTATAATCCAAGTCAAATGTAATTAGTCGTATCTCAAAGAAAGCCCTGTTTAAATATTTAACCCCACCTTCAGCGTTCAGGCTACACCAGTTCCTGCGTCAGTAGCTGGCAAAAGCCCAAAGAAAAGATGATATTCTGATCTCCGAGCACTGCAGAAGAGCCAGTGCTCAGGCCACCCTTCGTGGCTGCTGATGTACAAGGTTAGGTACCAGCTTCATGCAAGGTTTTGCCTCTGCCCCAGTACATGTGAGCCTGGTCTCTGCATTTGAAGTCCATCCACAGTAACGCATTTAGGAGTGCTCTAATTCAAAGAACATCCTTTTTTTTCCCATGATTTGTGTTCCTGACATCCATACATTAAAAACAAGCTAACACACACTGTAGTTAAAATGCACTCCCATTACCCTAAATTTTAAAAGTAGTATAGAAAGCACTACTAACTTTAAAAAACTATATTAAATTCAAATAGGTCCCAAGGCTAATGGAAGCAATTTGTATACCAACCCAAACCCAAACTGACTGGCCCACTTTTCAAAATACAGGTATGATAATCTTGTGGTTTTAAAAGGACATTTAAATTGAAAGACTGTGAATTTAGTACATAATTATACCAATAGAACCCTTTAACTTGTCAACTTGTAAATCTAAAAGGCTATCAATCATTTCTAAAGAGGAAATAAACCTTAAAATTCTTTGATTGACAGTGCTTACTTTTTATGTGAAAAAAAAGGAGTAAAGTGGCCAGAAATCCATTTACAAAAGTACATTGTTTTACATAGGTGAGTAAAAAGCCAATAATTACACCTCCAAAAGACATATAAATCAAAGTAAGTACTTCTCCCTCACTTACATATTTTAAGTTGCGGTAAACTTCAGGTAACTTTTTATTAAAATACTTTTCCAAATGCAAAGCTTATTGAAGCCATTAATAGAGCAGCATTTTCATTTAAGCTAATATAATCATTTTTGCAAATACAAGATTTAAGCAATTTTTCTCCTTCCAAACAATAAACTTTCAGCCTGTCTCTTGTGTGAATTAACTAAAATTACACCCAGGTGTACAAAATCTGTCTATCTATCCTAGTGTATGAGTTAAGGCACAATATTTATTATTCTTACCATTTTATGAATTACTTCTTAAACCCTTGAGGAAGAACTTTCATTCAAATTAGAATCTAGGAGAATAAGCCATGAAGCTCTTTATGCAGCAAGTCTAAAGCCA